AATGAAGCTGGTGTGTTATGTTAAGTAGGAAAATGAGGGAAGAGTAGCTCGTGAGATCGGGAGTGGGCGTAATGGCGGTAAATGGTGCTCCGCCCTGCGATTCCTGCAATCGTCTCTACTTAATCCCCCTCCTCCCTATACAACACTTACTCTGTTGTTGATCGCGTGTGCTGTTTTGTCTGCAATAGCACAAACATGATCTTTTTCGATCACCACCTTGAAGACTAATTCTCGTCTTCACCAGCATAGTTCATCAAACTCATGAACTTGGAGAAAAGCAGTGATAGGATGAGATATGCAGTGAAATGCAAAGCGGCTGCATAAAGTTTCCTGCCTGTGGATTTGGATATACACCAGGTAACGGGGGCAGATTCAGAATGGACGGAGGCACAGACAGTACTGGAACAGATGGTCTGTTTACGAACATCTCGTTGAGCTGCCTTTTAGTCAATATTTAGTCACACCAGAACTCGGTGATATTTTCTACTAGTTCTCCAATGAAATTATATCAAATGTCTTGTTGTTGACGTCTGAGAGAACAGATTACCCGCGGCTTCGACTTTTTAGGCTCCGACTAAGGCGTGAACGTCGAGCATCAACGTTAGCCATAAAGATTTATAACATTTTTAGCCGACTACTCAGACCACTTCAGCGCAAGTGTTTGAAATGCCAAATTCAACAGCAGCCGAGCATGGACAATTTTGAACAGATTATAATGGCAACCTTACCCGAAACCACAAGTTTTGCAGCAACTGAGCAGATCATCAGCAGAAAGAGTAACCTAAAATGTCATTTACACTACTGTCTATATATTCTTCTCGTAGAGTTCTCTTGAAACATGCTCCTACCTGTGTCTTTCCATTTGATGCAATGCAGATGCGATCTGACATGGCTTCTACTGCACCGAAAGCCCAGCATGATCCTTAAATTCAGAATTCGAGATTAGAAAGCCGCTACTAGACTACTATGCAAGACTCCGTTTATACTTGTATTGTCATACTGTAATCTAACTTATGTTTTGTTACTATTACGACCGAAGTGTTGACGGACAGATATTTTGTATATGGCTGAGAGCCTTGATGCTAATATAATTACAAGATAACATTGATACTATTG